GATTTTGGGGAAGGGACACGGAGGGTCTGGTGCCGCTTTTCCCCAGCGATTCCCCGATTTTGGGGAAGGGACACGGAGGGTCTGGTGCCGCTTTTTTCCCAGCGATTCCCCGATTCTGGGGAAGGGACACGGAGGGTCTGGTGCCGCTTTTCCCCAGCGATTCCCCGATTTTTCCTCGTTACTCGCCCGCTGGAGGCGGCGGGACCGAAGCGATGCGCTCGGGGCTGCGGGAGCGCACGGCCCCGGGGGCACCGGGGACCGGCTGCGGGGGACACACAGCGGGCTTTGCCCTCCCGACAGCCCCAAAAAATCCTGGAAAAGGGGATTGGAAAGAACCGGCGGTCCCACGGCACCGCTCCGCGACTCGGGAAAGAACCCGGCTGCTCCATCCTGCACCCGCTGGAAAACCGGGACCCCGCTGGAAAACCGGGACCCCGCTGGAAAACTCGGACCGTGCTAGAAATCCGGGACCCCGCTGGAAAAACGGGATCCCTGCTAGAAAACCGGGACCGTGGTAGAAATCCGGGATCCCTGCTGGAAAACCGGGATCCCTGCTGGAAAACCAAGAACCCCAGTAACCCTGCTAGAAAACCAGGATCCTGCTAGAAATTCGGGGGACCCTGCTAGAAAACCGGAACTCTGCTGGAAAACCGGGATCCCTGCTGGAAAACCAGGAACCCCAGTAACCCTGCTAGAAAACCAGGACCCCACTAGAAATCCGGGACCCCGCTAGAAAACCGGGACCGTGCTAGAAAACCCTGCTAGAAATCCGGGATCCCTGCTGGAAAACCGGGATCCCTGCTGGAAAACCAAGAACCCCAGGAACCCTGCTAGAAAACCAGGACCCCGCTAGAAATCCAGAACCCCGCTCGAAATCCGGAGCCCCGCTCGAAACCCGGGCCGCCGGCTGCACACCGGAGCACCAACCACATCCCCACCGGCGGCGGGTCCCCGCCGGTACCGCGCGGCGGCGGAGCCCCCGGACGATTTGCAGCGGATAAAAATAAAGCACAGAGGAGCCGAAAAGAGGCAGGAGGAGCGGGCGGCCGGAGGAGCGGCGGGCGGCATCCAGCGGCAGCGGGTCCGGCCGCGGGTCCCGCCGCGGGTCCCCGGCCGGCGGAGCGGCGGCTCCGAGCGGCGGGCGGGCGGCGCGGAGCCACGCCCCTTATGCAAATCGCCGCGCCGCCTCCGCCAATGGCGAGCGGCATCAGGGGCGGGGCCGCTCGCCCTGCCCTTAAAGCAACTTGTTGCCAGGGGCCCCGTTTGGCACTGGACGTGGAGCGCGGCGCGGGCAGCGCGGGCGGCGGCGGCGGCAGCGCGGATCTCGGGCTGACTTTCGAGCCTCCCGCGTCTTTTTCTCCTTCTAGAACTTATAATTTCTGCTCGCGTTCCCGCGGCGCCCCGCGGAGGGCGCGCACCCCTCCGACCCCACAGCACCGCTCCGCCGGGCGGGCGCAACGCGCGGCCGGCCCGCCGATGCTCAACATGACCGAGGAGCGCGACAAAGCGCTGGAGGCTCCGTGCAGCCCCGCCGGCACCAGCAGCTCCATGTCGCACGTGGACTCGGACTCGGACTCGCCGCTCTCCCCCGCCGGCTCCGAGGGGCTGGGCTGCGCCCCCGCGCCCGCCCCGCGCCCGCCGGGCGCCGCCGCCGCCGCGCTGGGGACCAAGGTGGACGCGGCCGAGGTGGACGAGCGCTTCCCCGCCTGCATCCGCGACGCCGTCTCGCAGGTGCTCAAGGGCTACGACTGGAGCCTGGTGCCCATGCCCGTCCGCGGCAACGGGTCGCTGAAAGCCAAGCCGCACGTCAAGCGGCCCATGAACGCCTTCATGGTGTGGGCGCAGGCCGCCCGCAGGAAGCTGGCGGATCAGTACCCGCATCTGCACAACGCCGAGCTCAGCAAGACGCTGGGCAAGCTGTGGCGGTGAGTGCCGGGATGCGCGGAGCCTCCGCGGGGCAGCGCGCCTGGGCTTCCCTCCCTTCCTCCCTCCCTCCCTTCCTCCCTCCTTGCTGCCCGCTTTGCTTTTGTTCGTCTCCGCTTCTCCGGCTTCTGGGGCATCCCCTCCCCGAGCATCCCGGCGCGCTGTGAAGGACTCGGCTCCCAAAAATCCCCCCCGAGCAGGGGCTTGGGCACCCTCGCTCCTGCCGCGGGTGGATTTTCCCTGCTCCATCACGGAGATGCACCCTTGCCTGCGGCTTCTCCATCCCCACGCGATGAGACTTTTTGAATTACTTGTTTTATGGCTTTTCCAAATTTTTTTTCCCCCCCTTTTGGCTGGCTTGATGCTTTACAAGCTATAAACGCAGCTAAACTCATTTTTAGCGGTTGTTTTAACGAGCTCCCTAATTTCCCTGCTTATCTGCTCACTGCTGCCCGGGGATGCAAACTTTTATTTGCTGAGCAGCATCCGAGCCCGCTTTGCCTTCCAAGGCTCTTCCCCGAGCCACGTTTCTCCGTGTGGTTTCTCCCGTGGTGTCTGCTTGTACCTAATTCCCATCTTTCCTGCCTGGCTCGGGCCAGCGATGCTCCCGCTGTGGTTTGAGCCTCCCCAAGAGTTTGCAAAGAGAGGTGTGGGCAGAGGGCAGAGAGTTTGGAAAGCAATAATCCCATCCCTGGTGCCTTGGTGGTTTCTTTGTAAGCACCAAACAAAGCTGGAAATGTTTGTGGGGGTGGCATTTGCAGGGCAAACGTGGGGATTATATTTTGTAATTGTGTTAGAAATGTGGAAAGGGGATTTTGTTTTGCCTGGTTACTCCTATCTATAGTGGTCGGGTTTTTCATGCTGCTGTAGTTGGTATTTTAATCCACTTCTTTGCCGTGGATTTTAACTCCTTTTTACCACAGCAAGTTAATTGTGTAGTTAGCTTGCTGAGCGCATGAGAAGTGGGGATGTGCGAGTCTGAAAACAAGAAGGAAAAAAAAATCCTAATTTTGGCTTTTTTCTTTCCCCTTCTCTTCCTTACTAAAACAACCAACCCCCCCCCAAAAAATCCAGTTTGCTGAGCGAAAACGAGAAGCGTCCCTTCGTGGAGGAAGCCGAGCGGCTCAGGGTGCAGCACAAAAAGGATCACCCGGATTACAAATACCAGCCCCGGAGGAGGAAAAGCGTCAAAGCCGGGCAGAGCGACTCGGACTCGGGGGCTGAGCTCAGCCACCACGCCGGCACTCAGCTCTACAAGGCCGACACGGGGCTGGGGGGCATGCCCGACTCCCACCACCACGGGGACCACACAGGTAAAGGGCAGCATTCCCGCTGATCCCTGTGCCGTGGGGGGTGGGATGGGATCCTGCTGCTCCCCACCCTGCAGAGCCCAAGGCAGATGTTGTCCCGTGAGCTGTGCTTGGGAGCATGGCCGTGGTTTTCCTTAGAGAGTGTTCTCAGAGCCGCCCGTGCCATAGGGAATGCCAAAGCATCGGGATTCTGGTCTCCCTGGATGGGGAGAGTGACTTATTCTGGGCTAATTATTGGTGTGATGGGCTAATGAGGGTGCTTGGGGAGCAGGGTCCTTGGGGCAGAGCTTCCCAGCGCTGGGAATTGGCGTGCTGACAGATTCTGGGAGCGCAGGGAACATCCTGCAGCCTCAGACCCCGCTGGGATCACGGCCCTGGCTGCCTCGGCCACCCGCAGGGAGAGGATGAGCTCCATCGTGGCCTTCGCTCTGTGAATGCACCCCTGGTGCTGTCAGGGTGTCGTGCCGTGTCCCAGAGTGATCCTGGTGGGCACAGCGTGCTCCCAGCTTCATCCCATGTCCCGTGCGGGAGGCTCATCCCAAGGGGGACACAGGGGTGGACATCCCCCGCGTCCGACAGGCTTAAATCCCCAAAGGGAGCGATGACAGACGGGTGAGACGCATTCACTGCATGATGGAGCTGGATGTTCTGTGCTCACTGCTGAAACCTCGCTGTCCCTTCACCCCCAGGCCAGCCCCACGGACCCCCCACGCCGCCCACCACCCCCAAAACCGACCTGCACCACGGCGGCAAGCAGGAGCTGAAGCACGAGGGCCGGCGCTTGGCGGAGAGCAGCCGCCAGAACATCGACTTCAGCAACGTGGACATCTCGGAGCTGAGCAGCGAGGTCATCAACAACATGGAGACCTTCGACGTGCACGAGTTCGACCAGTACCTGCCCCTGAACGGCCACGCCGCGCTGCCGGCCGAGCACGGCGCCGGCTCCTACGGCGCATCCTACGCGCACTCGGGCGCGGCCGCCCAGGTGTGGACTCACAAGAGCCCGGCCTCGGCCTCCCCGACGGCCCCGGAGCCGGGCCAGCAGCGGCCCCACATCAAGACGGAGCAGCTGAGCCCCAGCCACTACAGCGAGCAGCCCCACGGCTCCCCGGCGCACTCCGACTCCTACGGCTCCTACGGCGCCCAGCCTTGCGCCACCTCGGCCGCCCCGGCCGCCGCCTCCTCCTCCTCCTTCTCCAGCTCGCAGTGCGACTACACGGACCTGCAGAGCTCCAACTACTACAACCCCTACCCCGGCTACGCCTCCAGCCTCTACCAGTACCCCTATTTCCACTCCTCGCGCCGCCCCTACGCCACCCCCATCCTCAACGGGCTGTCCATCCCACCGGCGCACAGCCCCACCGCCAACTGGGAGCAGCCCGTCTACACCACCCTGACCAGGCCTTAAAAGGATTCCCGGAGCCTCCCCGGGCTCCCCTGGAATTATGCACTAATGAAGGAATGAGGAGGAAGAGCGTGGAGTGTTCCAAAGTGCCTCCTGAGCCGCTGGGAACTTTCTGCTGGTCGCCGCCTTGCTTCGGAACTCCGCCGAAAGGACAGAGCTCTATTGTTGTTTTGTTTTTTTTTTTTTTCCTTTGATTAGGGTTTAAGAAATTAAAAAAAAACTCAAAAAAAACCCCACAAACAAACAAAGGACAAAAAATTAAGAATAAGATGAAAAAAATACAGCGGGAAAGGAAAAGGATCGGTGATGCCTTTTGAGTAAATGAAGGACAAAATGTTGGGCTGAGCCGAACTCGCTCGGCCTGGAAGTTTGGCCAAGTGCAAAACGTGGAGCAGGGGTGGAGACAAAACGACGACAAAAAAGCTGTTTGAGACTTTCAGGGTCTATTGCAATGTGAGGAACGGACCAACCTTGAGGGCAGGAACTCACTGGGACCAACAGGGATGAGCCCCAAAATCTCAGAAAAATCCCGTGGGAAGAGTCTGATGGGACCAACCAATTCAGTGTCTGAAGTGTTTGTTGATTTATTTTTATTTTTTTTTGTTTCAGTCAGGAGTTCTTCTAAGCAAGGTTTGGCTGTAATTAACATTTTGTTTTGGGGTTTTTTTTGTTTTGTTTTTGGAAGCTTCAAATGTTTTCGGTTGTTTTGGTTTTGTTTTTTTTTTTTTTTAAATCTGTTAAATATGTATTTATGTTCTGTATTATTTTGTCTTTTAATTAATGAAGTCGTTTTGTGCAAAACGGAAAAAAAAAGTAGAACTTTTAAAAGATTTTAAAGATGGGGGAGGGAGCCTAAAAAAATTAGTGGAGATGATACAATAAACTGGTGTTATGAGTCTATAGATTTTCCTTGGTTTTTGGGTTTTTTTCATTTTGGAACCGCTGCAGGAGCCGTGCTGGAGAGAGGGACTGAAGGAATCCGCCTGGAAACTCCAATGGGAATGTCAAATAACCGGGGGGGCAATTACTAATTCAATTGGGAGGCTCAAATGCTGCCTGAAAAGGGCAGGTGATTTTCTGGCCACCTGTTTTGGGCTGTTAAAATCGGATTTCAGGAGTCTTCGGAGGCTTTCAGAACCAGGACTACTTTAAAGGAGCTGTAATTCCATGAGAAACCATCGACTTCTGCTTTAATTTTGGCTTCTAGGGACCAGATATCATCCATCAAGCTGTGAAACTAAAATCTCCTCCACTAAAAATAATGGGGTTTAGGGTACTTAGTTTTTAGACTAATATTTCATTGATATATTTCTACTTCTTCCATTGTATGCTGAGCATATAAATAACCATCTATTTTATGGGAATTTGTGCCTTTAAAAGCCTTTGTAAATCTAAACCCACCTTTCAGAGGTTATTCATCTTTTTACCTTTTCTACGTTTCCTACTCTTTTTTCTAAAAGATATTTTTTTGCATATTTCCTTTCGTGGGGAGGGGCGGGGAGGGACACGCTGGGCTGGGGGAAAAGACAAAAAAAGCTCATTTTTATGCAATCTATTTTTCTGTATAAAGTTTGAAAGACTTTTGGTTGTTACTGATCTGTTCTCTTCACTCGCTTCTGACTAAGCAATGCTAACTTTTGTACAGATCCATTTGATAAAATTAAAAAGTGCTTTTTATCAAGGATGTGTTCTGTTTTCTTTCTGCTTGAGCCTGTTTTCTGTGCTGGGGAAAAAAAAAAACCTGGGAAAACAGCTTGGAAGGCGATGGAAATCTTCAGAATAAAATATTTTCATCAAGGATTTGTTTCCCTTTTAGTCTGGATAATTTTTTTCCTTGCTCCTTTTCCCTGCGCTTTGTGTCTTACTCTTGAGATTTTTTTTTTTTTAATATAGATAAATTAATTTGATTTTTCCTTTAAGAAGGGCATTTCCATGCCCATGATCCTGAGGATTATGGATTTGTTTCCCTTTTAGTCTGGATAATTTTTTTCCTTGCTCCTTTTCCTTGCGCTTTGTGTCTTACTCTTGAGTTTTTGGTTTTTTTTTTGGAATACAGATAAATTAATTTGATTTTTCCTTTAAGAAGGGCATTTCCATGCCCATAACGCTGAGGATTTCCTGGGATTTCAGACTGCTCACACGAGGCCGGGTTTGCAAGGTTTTAGCCCCAGCTGATTTTCCTTCTGTGGGAAATGTACAGGAAGAAATTCCCTTTTTCTGCTCGGTGAGCCCTGGTAAATAAATCCCCCTGAGTTAGGAGAGCAACCAAATTACACGTTGCACATCAGGCTTGGTGTATTCCTTTTTTCAACACTGTCATTAACATCGTTAACGTTTATAACTTTTATTTTGCTTTCTTACAGCAAACATTCCCTCCCTCTTCGGCTTCGCTTGGAGAGCAAAGGGGTCTCAACCTGGGAGGAAAAAAATTTGGGATTTGGGAATTTCAGCCCTCCCTGCTGGAAAGAAAAGGCTGGAACAGGGAGGGGGATAAATGTGACGTGTAATAATGATAATTAATGAAGCTGCAGCCCATTAGGGAGGGCTGGGGAGCAGATCCCAGGCGGAATTTGGTGTTGGCAGCTTTTGCCAAGAGGGGCTGGAAGGCGTCACCATTTTCTCCGTGCTCCTTCCCAGGCTCCTGGCAGGAGGATTTCATTCCATCTGGAGCCAAAGTGCAGCGTCACTCCCTTCCCTCCCTTCCCTCCCTTCTCCTCCTCCCGTGACTCTGCAGATTTCCTGATTTAATCCTGATTTATGCCTGGAAAACGGACGAGTCTTGGCTCTGCCCTTGAGGTTGGGGTTTGTCTCCAAACCCGTGTGCAGTGAGGGGGGAAAAAAACGGAATAAAAGGTGAGATGGGATGAGCTTTGCTTTCTGCTGGATGTTTTGTGGTACAGCTTAATTGTAAATACAAATTAACCCAGTGGGAAGAAATAATGATGTCTGACTCTGGAAGATTAAATTATTTCTTTATTATAACTATAATATATTAATATACTATTTAAAAGAAATACTAAAACTACAAACTTACTTTTTCTAACTACCATAGCTAACTCACAACTTGTGACCCTCTGAGAGTCCAGACACAAGTAGATTAAATTAGCCACCAATCTCAAACAATCCTCACCAGAATCTAATCAAACAATCACCTCAGGTAAACAATTCTCCAAACACATTCTATATAAGAAAAACAAAGAGCAGAAATAAAAATTTTCTCTTTCTTCTCTCTGCACACCTCTATGAAAAATCCTGAGAGAGGGAAGAATGTGCCTGGCACACAGCTTGGAGTGGCTTCACTGGCGGCTGATAAAACAAAATTAAACTGTGCGAGGTGAAGTGGTGAGCCACCCAAAATAACAACATTAAAAACTGAAAATCACCCCAAAATATCAAAGATTGCCCTGAAGCATCCCTGGTTCCTGGGGGAGCACGGGGCTCTGTGCACGCAGCAGGATGGATCCCGGCTCCTTTCCCTCCTCCCAGTGACAGCCAGGAGCTGCGGGATGGAGCCGTGCTCTCATCCCGAGGATTGCACGTCCCAACCAGGCAGCCTTTAAATCCACTTGGTTGGTTTGATTTCCCACAGGCTTTGCAAAAAGGAATTCAATTTTTGCTGGTATTTATGGAAATAAGGTCATTAAATTGTAGATTGTAATAGAGATCTGTATTGTGTTTTAACATGGAATTAGGGTTGGGAGGGATCCACAAGGATCATGCGAGTCCAATCCTGATTTTAGATATAATTCTATATTTTAGATCCATCCCATAGGTTCAAGGGGTGCTTTGGAATCGCCAAATCCTGGAATGGTTTGGGTTAGAAAGTCAGGGGGTGACAGGAGCTTTGGAATCACCAAATCCTGGAATGGTTTGGGTTGGAAAGTCAAGGGGTGACAGGAGCTTTGGAATCACCAAATCCTGGAATGGTTGGGGTTAGAAAGTCAGGGGGTGGCAGGAGCTTTGGAATCACCAAATCCTGGAATGGTTGGGCTTGGAAAGGACCTTAAAACTCATCCTGGTCCCATCCAGGGCAGGGACAACTTCACTGTCCCAGGCTGCTCCATCCAGCCTGGCCTTGGGCACTTGGAGAGCTCCTGGAAGCAACTCCAGGGAACAGCTCCTGGGGTTTTGTGGGTAAAACTCAGAGATGTTGCAGAATGGATGTTCAGGCAGCTAAAATGACATTCCCAAGATCTCCCAAATTTCATTCCCTACTCAATTTATATTTCCTCACATTTTCCTACTTGAGAGGAAAACACGGATCAGTTTTTATCCAAAAAAAGATAATTTGGATCAGAAATTACCGCTGCTGGCACAGCTGCATTTCCAGCCTGTCCTCCCCTTCCCTTTGCAATCCAGGCTGAGGGAGGAAAGAATTTTGGATGTGCAGGAGGGTGCCAGGCAGGTAAAATGCAGCATCCTGGAGAACCCAGGGCTAAAACTCAGGGTTTAGGTGGAGCTGGACATTCCCAAGATCTCCCAAATTTCATTCTCTACTCAATTTATACTTCCTCTCAATCTCTCACTCGAGAGGAACACACAATCAGTTTTTACCCAAAAAAAGAGATAATTTGGATCAGAAATTACCGCTGCTGTCACAGCTGCATTTCCAGCCTGTCCTCCCCTTCCCTTTGCAACGCAGGCTGAGGGAGGAGAAGGATTTTCCATGAGTTTTCCAGGCTGAAAGGCAGCATTGTGTGTCCGTGCTCGGGGCTGCGGGCTCTGCGCTGGCAGCGCCTCTGCAGAGTCAATGAGATCAGGTGAAACCAGGGCTGCCTTTTGACCCCTGGCTGCCAACAAAAAAAAGGCTTCTCAAGATAATTGCAGGGATCCACGGGTGAGAAAAGTCCCTCCATTTTATTTTTGGAGCAGGGAATAAAGAGTGTTGCTGTTTAGCTCAGGCAGTGCTAGTTAGCAAGAAAGAGGAAATTAATTTTATAGACCATATCCACATTCTTTCTGCAGGCTGGGAAAAAAAAAGTCCCTTCCCATCCTCCTTGTTTTAATTCTTTTCTGAAGTGACATCAACTCGTGTTACACTTTTTTTTTTTTTTCCCTGCAAAATTATTATTAAAAGGCATTTTTATGACATCCCTGAGCTTTAATAAACTTCCACATAGGGATGTCCCTGCCTGTGCATCGACCTCTTCCACCTTTACATCCCTGGGGCTGGATGCTCTCTGTGGCCTGGGGTTTGGATGGGGGAAAAAAACAAACAAACAAAAAAATAAATAGAAAATAAAAATACCTGGAGATGTGATGTCATTTGGGACACAGGGTGGATTCCAGGAGGGCAGGAAAAGAGGAAAAGCCTCTTCCAGCTGATCCTGGCAGGGCAGAGCTTCGCTGCCACAGGGATTTGGGAGCAGGAGAGACACATCCGAGCCCAGGGGAGGTTTGGTGGTCATGGGAAGGTTTTGGTGGCCATGGGAAGGTTTTGGTGGCCATGATGAAGTTTTGGTGGTCATGAGGAAGTTTTGGTGGTCATGGAAAGGTTTTAGTGTCCATGGGAAGGTTTTGGTGGCCATGGGAAGGTTTTGGTGGTCATGAGGAAGTTTTGGTGGCCATAGAAAGCTTTTGGTGGTAATGGAAAGGTTTTAGTGTCCATGGGAAGGTTTTGGTGGACATGGGAAGACTTTTGGTGGCCATGAGGAGGTTTTGGTGGCCATGAGGAAGTTTTGGTGGTCATGGAAAGCTTTTGGTGGCCATGGAAAGGTTTTGGTGGCCATGAGGAGGTTTTGGTGGCCATGGGAAAGTTTTGGTGGCCATGACGAGATTTTGGTGGCCATGAGGAGATTTTGGTGGCCATGAGGAGGTTTTGGTGGCCATGAGAAGGTTTTGGTGTCCATGGGAAGCTTTTGGTGGCCATGGGAAGGTTTTGGTGGCCCCAGCGTGGCACAGCCCTGTCCCCATGGAGCTGGGATGAGTTTCCCGTTGGGAATCTTTAAGGAAACTCCAACACTGCTGGAAAAGCCTTCAGGGCCGTGAGTTTGGATTTGGGGCTCTGAGGGCAAATTCCTGAACACCAATTGACCAAGGGCTCCAAAGTCCCTTTTTGGGGTGGGAGGAGGGAATTGCAGAGGAATTTCACATCCATTCCTGACTGTCCATGAGGGATACATGGAAAAACCCCAGGAGACAACACTGCCACGGCCTCACCACTGCCCTGCTCCTCCTCAGAGACCCTGCAGAGGCTCTGCCGGGTTTTTTGGGGAGTTCTCCACGTTAGCAGAGTGAGGGGACCCTGCAGAGGATTCCAGGATCCCGGGGGAGCCCATCCAGCCCCGGATCCATCCCCTCTCCAGCAGCGCCAGCTGAGCCAGGGCAGTGCCATTCCCAGACCATTTCCAGGCAGGAATTTGGGATGGCACCAGGCTGAGGCTTGGGGAGGGAAAGCCATTTCCCAAATGAGTCAGCAGGAGCTAAAAATAATCCCCCTGGAGATAAACCCAAACCACAGCAAACGGGGCTGATTGCAAATCTCGTCATTCCCTGCTGCCCTGCACCCCCGGCCCGCCGAGCTGGGGGGCTGCAGGGCAATCCCTGGCTGGGATGGGGTGCAGGGGGTGCTGCCAGGTGGGATTTGGGGCAGGAGAACCCTCCAGGCAGCACAGGGGGCTCAGGGAGGGTGTCAGGCTGCGGGGCTGCTGCCGCAGAGTGTTCGCAGAACTTCCAGCTGGGG